CCCAGCACCACAGCCACTTGGCCAGTTCCAACCTGTGGGAACTGCCTCCTTGCAGAATTTCAACATCAGCAGTTTGCAGAAATCCATCAGCAACCCCCCAGGTTCCAACCTGCGGACCACTTAGACCTAGAGACATTAACTGAATAGATCTGAGGGCAGGAGATGGAATGCTGGGGGGAGGGATGGGGGGTGGGAGTAGCCTATATACTAACTACTAGTGCTGCATTTAACTGGTTATTTCTTGCCAGAAGGGAATGTTTTTAATTCCACGTTGAGTCCTCAGAATGGAGAGTCTCCTCTGCTCTACTAACTGGAGTAGGAGAGGAAGGGAAGAGCAGCTTTCTTGTAAAGGGGCAGCTTCAGACCATGCTTTATCTGTACTCAGTAGTGAGGATGAGGGCTAGGAAAGTCTTGTTCATAAGGAAGCTAGAGAACTCAATGTAAAATCAAACCCCATCTGTAATTTTGAGTGGGTGGAGCTCTTGATTTTGGTACATGCCCCAAATCCTTTACTCCCTCAAGAATCTGAACCACCAGACGAAAACAACCTATTGGGCTCTCTCCTGCCCTGCCATCCTCCCTTTCCCCCGACTTCTCTTTTTGATTTTTTCTTTGCTCTTTAGAACCCAGTGAAAAATACCAGGGGACTGGGGTGCAACCCTTTCTTATAATAGGTCATTAGTGCTTTAAGCAAAAGATACTAGCAGCTTTGACTGCAGCATTAGCAATTAGGAAAAAAAAAATAAGTTCCCTGCGGACATGTAACTTTGCCATCAGTTTTGATGTGGAAACACTGTGATATATAAAATGTTGTTGGACAACAGTAGTTTTAAGAGTAAAATATGAAACGTTTAAAAAGTTCAAAAAAAAGCTAGCTCTGTCCTTTACTTATTGAGACACTTTAACTTTTTCCTTTGTATTTCCATTGTATTAGATAAATAAATGTGAATGTAAAATTGTATAAATTACTGTACTTGAATACTTCTGTTTCCCAGTGTTGCTTGCTGGACATTTTAGTGCCTTGGACTTATATTGCTTCTGCCATTAGCATCAACTTATCAGACCCCAGATCAATAAAGGGTATATGGAAGGAAATCTTAGGTCCATGTGACCCCAGCAGTGGATATGCCAAAGGGAAATAGAAAAAGTATTTTTTTAAGTCATTCAACAACTTTGTCTAGAGCAGGTGTAAGATGAGTAGGTGGGAAGTTAAGTTGGCATTAGTGGTTAAAAACAAAGTTCTGTTTCAGGAAGAGTGGGGAGGGGGTGTTACAACAAAATTGGGCAACTTAAAAGACTAAGAATGGTATGTGCTGGGTGAAAGACAAAGACTAAAGAATGAGGAAACAAACTTGTTTTGAAGATCCGTGATGCCTGGCCAATGACTGTCATATAAACCTTTATTTGAGCTAGGCTTGAACAGACGTGACCTAGAAGAAACTGAACATAAAGAAAAGGGTATGGGGGCTAGTTATCAAGTTGGGGAACCTGATCGTGAAAAGTCACAGATGGAGAAAGTTGCTCTATGAAAAACTGGATTGCTTTCCTCTTGTTGCACATGTACCATGCAGTTCTCAGCTTGGGGTACTATATTTTGTGGAAAGTGAATCTTTCCACATCTGAATTAATAATCATCGTAGGAAAGGATACTTACTCCTACTTATTTCCTTTATGATGTCCGAATGGTTGCAGGATCATAATCTATTATGCCACCTTTATTTCCAGAAATACAACTAATATGCTCACATTGTCAAATATTCCCCTTAAGTAATAACTGCAACCAGTCAGTGTTATTTAGTGCTATGCCTACTTGTAATGGGTAGTTCTGTTGTTTTCAGAGCTTTCCGGAAATACTGTCCTAATTGGCTATGTTTAGGATCTTTGTTATCTCTGAAGACGACAAAGAAGCTAAGACTCTTAATTTTGGGGTGCTTCTTGACTCTTAGTTGGGAAATTGACATATTTCCAACCTTTTACCCACATCAATGGCATATTCCGGGAATCACCACCACCACCACAGAAAGAAGCTGAGGCTCTCCGTACCTGTTCATTCCTTACGGGCCCTGCTTCCCTTAGTAAGTTGGTCTATGGCCCTAAGTATGCAAATGACAGCTGAAGGTTTTTAAAAGGCAGAAAGGAAAAGGGCAGGGGTTTCAACCCCTGCTTTAAAAATATTTACTAACTTATTCTCTGCTTATATCTTGTGGAGAGAGTCAGAGTAAGGATAGAACCAACAAGGAGCCGAGTAGCTGAGAAAGGGACCACCGAAGAGTGAAAATACTTTATACCAGAGGAGCAGGGGAGCCTAATGCAGCACATTAGCATTTGTTATTTGGGTTTAATAATTTTGAGGTTTTTTTCACTCATACACAAAAAGAACTGGTTTTATTTACTGTTAATTCATCTTCCTGTGGATGAAATAACTGAAGCCTAGAGGAATGAACTAGTGCTACTGAACTGTTTAAATTATTTTTGTGTTGATAGTACACTTTGAATATCTTTTTCCACATTAAAAAAAACTTTCTGAATTATAAGTGTTTTCCTTACATTATTTAACAATGTACACTGTTTAAAAAAATTAAAATTCAAACTTCGGGGGTTTCTCAGCAGCCGTTAATTGTACATTTTGCACTAACTGGGTGTTGCGCTTCTTGTAAGATTGCGCTTTGTGCTTCAGTTTGTTACCTTTGTAGACTTATTTAATGAAACCATTCAAATAAACCAAACCTGCTTTTGTTGAGCTGTGGGGTTTCATTTACAGAAAATTCCTTCACATTTGCACTGGCACTATTTTAAGTGCAATTTATAACCGGATTCCTAATTCTTAGGGGCTCTTTTGCTACCTCTTCATCTTCCAAAGGAATAGAAACAGTTGGCTGCTGGCTAGTACTTTCAGACTTCCTTATCTCGGTTCACAGCTTCCCACAATGTGTCTGTGAGCCAAAAAAAAGAAGTCACTGCTTCAAGATAGGCACAGCCCAGTCCAAAATATGTCTTTTAAAAAACTAAATTGGCTGGGTGCAGTGGCTCATGCCTGTAATCCCAGCACTCACTTTGGGAGGCCAAGGCAGGCAGATCACTTGAGGTCAGGCATTCTAGACCAGCCTGGCCATCACTGAGAAACCCTGGCCACTAAAAAGACAAAAAAATAGCCAGGTATGGTCACGGCACCTGTAATCCCAGCTACTCAGGAGCCTGAGGCAGGAGAATCGCTTGCACCCCAGAGGTGAAGGTTGCAGTGAGCCGAGATCGCACCACTGCACTCCAGCCTGGGATGCAGACACCCTCTCAAAAATAAAATAAAAATGCAATTTCATTATTTGGGGGGAAAAATTATAAAACATCTAAACACTATGAAAAGCCAATTTGGGCCGGGCATGGTGGCTCAAGCCTGTGATCCCAGCACTTTGGGAGGCCAAGGCGGGTGGATCACGAGGTCAAGAGATCAAGACCATCCTGGTCAACATGGTGAAACCCCGTCTCTATTAAAGATACAAAAAATCAGCTGGCCATGGTGGCGCGTGCCTGTAATCCCAGCTATTCAGGAGGCTGAGGCAGGAGAATTGCCTGAACCCAGGAGGCGGAGGTTGCGGTGAGCCGAGATCGCGCCATTGCACTCCAGCCTGGGTAACAAGAGCGAAACTCCGTCTCAAAAAAAAAAAAAAAAAAAAAAAGGCCAATTTATGGTCAAGGTGGGCTACATCTCACATTTGAAATGCCTAAGTAGATAGAAACAGTTGCAGCTTGAGCATCCCTAATTGAAATGCTCCGAGATCTGAAAGTTTCTGAGCACTGACATGATGCCAGAAATGGAAAATTCCAGTCAAAGCACCAGGCACCAAACAGTTTATTCAGCAACCCTCAGAGAAAAAAGGACTCAGCCCCCTTCAGCTGCAGTGTATCTGCTACACAAACTTTGCTGCATGCACAAAATTATGTGTATGAGGTATATATGAAACAAGTGAATTCTACGTTCAGGCTTGGGTCCCCTCCACAAGTTCTCATTAAGTATATACAAATATTCAAAAAATGCAAAAAAAATTCTGGTTTCAAGCATTTCAGATAAGGGATAGCAATATGTATATTTTCTGTTTTCTTATAAAGTATACCATTTGCTTTCTCAAAATGCCTTTTCTGGGTGGACACAGTGACTCACACCAGTAATGACTGCATTTCGTAAGGTGGAGGTGGGAAGATCACTTGAGCTCAGGAGGTTGGGCTGTTTGCACCAACCGCACTCCAGTCTGGGTGACACAGCAAGACCCTGCCTCAAAAAAAAAAAAAAAAGTTTTTCCCTGACCTTACATGATTATTTCCTTCTTAGGGAAAAATGTCAGTCTGGAAAGAATGCAGGATTGTAGTGTCATAAACCCATAAATTAGTTTATTTAGATTAAATGAAGACTGTAGCCTAGATTGATACAAAGTAGTAAAAAGCACTACTCCAACTGTTTTCCTGTCATGATCCACAGTGCTTAAAGTGGACAACATTAAAGGCATGGGGCCTTAAAGGAAAGAAGGCAGAGGTTATGCAAAACAATTGAATGTAGGCAATTGCTAGGGCAGGTGCTTAGTACTAAGTCTGGCCTATATTGCTTGAGGGCAAGCAGCCATTGGTGATTCCTAAAACGTCCATCTTTATTAACAATAGTTTAGTAATAAATAGTGGGAAGTCTCACAAGCCAAAGAAAAGATATTTCATCCATCCAGAGCCTATCCCTACTAGAGTGGAGGACAAGCTTTTTTTCTGAGCCAGAGTCTCGCTCTGTCACCCAGGCTGGAGTGCAGTGGTACAATCTCAGCTCACTGCAACCTCTGCCTCTCAGGTTCAAGCAGTTCTCTGCCTCAGCCTCCTGAGTACCTGGGACTACAGGTGCCCACCACCACACCCAGCTATTTTTTTGTATTTTTAGTAGAGACAGGGTTTTACCATCTTTGCCAGGCTGGTCTTGAATTCCTGACTTGGTGATCCACCTGCCTCGGCCCCCCAAAGTGCTGGGATTACAGGCATGAGCCACCGCACCCGGCCGGGGACAAACTTTTTAAAAGTGCTCAGCTCTAACTGCAGTAGGCTCTCAGATCCTCTTGAGAAGGTTCAGAATGAAGGAAGGTAAATCCTTAGCAGTAAAGTTCATTCTCCAGGAGTGATGAACGATTTCATGACAACAAAGTAGTTTTCCAAAGTACCTTTGTGACAAGGTCCAATCACGTGGCCTGAGCCTCAGCTATGATGGATCATACTTCCTTTTCTTCATGTCCTGGCTCTTCCTATGAGATTCCCAGTTTCCTGTGGAAGACAAAATGGCTTAAATGTAACTACCATGGTTAAAATAAACTGACAGCTAATGATTTCTGGATTTTATTAGTTAATGATCCTAATTTAGACTAAGCCCAAGACTGAGAATTTCTGTTAGGAGGAAAGCAGGTCATTTTCCTAGACCAAGTGGCATCGTGCTCATGACAGCCCCGCTGCTGGAAGGGCAAGCTGTCCATGCAATGGCGCTTCTGCTTCCTGCTACTATCAAGTGCTGAAAAGGGCTGCACCTGAATTCAGGAGCCCAAAGGAAAAGTTCTGGCTCTCAAACCAGGCTCCCGGTTATCTTCCACTTGCAGTGCTATTCCCTGTGAATTATTCTATCGAAATGAAATGTCATCCTTCCTCAAAAATTCCCAGAATTAAAGCTAGGTTCCCCTTTAGTTTTTGTTCCTAAACACCGCTCTGCTACCTGTTATGCATTGGTCAGTGCTATAAGTCTGGAGGTCCCAAGGTCCAGATTTCACTTGTGGTTCCTGGTGGCAAAGGCTGTGTGGAGTCCTGTCCTGGGTCACCATCTGGTTGTTCAAGGCTAGTGTGTCAGAGGTCTGGGGTGGGTCTGCTCTAGACAAGGGCTTGACCACACCATCCCCTGCATCTGGAGTCACAGCCCACTTTAGAGAGTTCTCTTCAAGAGTCTCTACAGAAGAAAGGAAAAGTGTATCATCAGCAAATAATCAAATATTCCACAGAAAGCACTGGAAAAACTAGCCATCAGAAATTCCACATCGAGTGCTTTCTGAAAGTTTTTGGAATTTCTCTCCCCTACCCCTAAAAGTATACTGAAGAACCTTCCCTTCAGTTCAGATCAAAGAGGAGCTGAACATAAGCCATCCGCCAGAATCCCCCGCACCAACAAAAACAGACGAAAATGAGGATTTTTATGCTGCCTAAAAGGTATTCTGTGGCTACTAAAAACATACAGCACAGTAGCTTACAAGCATTTCAAAGTATTTACTGATTAATTCTTGAGTCATTCCTGCAAGGAAGTCTTTCTCCGGGAGTGGTTCTGAGACCGCAGTTACAGGAGTGCTGTGTGTCAGAGGAGGGGCCGGAGGCGCTGCTACGGTTCTCAGAGGAAAGAAAGGACAAGTCATAATCACATCCTACGTGGGATTTAAGAGAGTAAGTCCACTGTCCTCTTCTTAGAGGGAACACTCTCAGAAGGGCAACGCTGTGTAAGGCTACGCTGCTTCAGCCAGAATAAGAACTTCAGATTCCCGGATCCCAGTCCTACCTACGGATCTGTCTGTGGTTTGAATTCTTCTCACCAGGGAAAACGAGTTTCTCCTTTCACAGCAAAAGTAGAAGGGCTCTCAGAGGCCATCTAATCCAGCGTCTGGCTTGCTTGCTACAGCCGTAACCCTTGCACAAACAAAATCTTAAACTAAAACCTGGCCAGGCGCAGTGGCTCATACCTGTAAACCCCAGCACTTCGGGAGGCCGAGGCGGGAAGATTGCTTGAACCCAGGAGTTCGAGACCCCATCTCTACAAAAAGTAAAAAATTACCCAGGTGTGGTAGCAGGCACTTGTGGTCCCGGCTACTCAGGGGGCTGAAGCAGGAGGATCACTTGAGTCCAGGAAGGTCGAAGCTGCAGTGCGCCCTGATCATGCCACTACTCTCCAGCCTGGGTGACAGAGCAAGACCCTCTCTGAAAGCAAATCAGCAATCAAAATCTTAAGCCAAAATCAGATGTGTGAAATGGACTAAAATAACAATGGCTCTGGTTATCTGCCAAAGGGTGAGAAGGGCCTGGAGGGCCGCGTCCTCCACACGTCACAGAGGAGCTTCTGCAGTGTGAGAGGCTAAACATCAAGAATAACTCATCAGTAAGGATAGCCACAGAACAGGAAGTGGCTCTGTTTTGGTTTTTATATTACTTTCAGCCTGTCAGTGCTGAGAGGCATATGAACCAACCACAAAGCAAGTCTTCTATGACTCTTCTTCACAATTGGTAGGGGAAACCTGGGCAAGAGCTCAATGGATCTGGGACAAGCCCTTTGTTTCCACTCTCTAAGGACTACCGACCCCTGGACGGGGCAGTGGGGAGGAAGTGGGGAGAGAGACGGAAGAAAAGAAGAGTCTGTATCACTATTCCCACTTAATCTGGACTCTGAAATAAACTGAAGTCGATAAATATCTGCCAAAAGCTCCCATTATCCTCAGTCTCAATTTGGCCTTATATTCAAAGACATCTCAGAAATACAACGCTTTTTTTTTTTCTTTGAGACGGGCTCTCTGTTGCCCGGGCTGGAGTGCAATAGCACGATCTCGGCTCACTGCAACCTCTGCCTTCCGGATTCAAGCAATTCTCCTGCCTAAGACTCCCAAGCAGGGGGTACCACAGCCATGTGCCACCACGCCCAGCTCATTTTTATGCATTCTTGGTAGAAATAGGGTTTACTCCTGACATCAAGTGATCCACCCACCTTGGCCTCCCAAAGTGCTGGGATTACAGGCGTGAGCCACTGTGCCCTGCCAAGGCTTTCTAATGTAGAGATGGCCAAAGTATTTGCAGCAAAAAAAGTCATTTACTCTGAAATTTCTAATTCTACAAGATTATATCAAGGCCCACTTACTTGCATAGGGGAAAAAAAAAGATCACTGTCTCTAGAAATGGGAACATGTATAGCAGATTTAAATTATCTAGATTTCCTGGGCTCATCTGTCCTGCATGTAGCTTGAGAGAAGTCCTGGCGAGGCCTGGTTTAGAGCCAGCCACAGGGTTACTGGCAGAGAATCAGGTGACCCTGTCGCTAGACTTCCTCCTGCAGCCACCTCCCAGGGCTCTGCTCCCATCCACTCACACACCCTCACTCTTCTCAGCTGGCGGGGTGGAGACGTGGTCTTGCTGCTTCTCCATCTGCTCCCGGAACTGCTGCTGCAGCTGCTTTTGCCGGAGCTTCCGCTGGTACGAGGCCTCGCTCTCCACAGCGGATGAGGTCAGGCGTCTGCATCGGGGAGCAACAGGTTGAGGAGGAGCTCCTAAGTAACAGCCACAGCTCCTGGGAGCACGCACACAGCGGGCTGGCTCTGAAGGAGGAAGTGGAGGCAGCCCCAGTGACAGAGGAAAGGGAGGGGACTTAGGCCACATACCGGGAGCTGCAGTCCTTGTTCCCCTGTATCACAGCGTGGCTTGGTCTAGAAGGGGAGGTCACCTCCTGTAGTTGTGGGTGTCCCAGGGCCATGTTCGGTCGGCAACTGTTGAATCTTGCCTCTTCCACAGACGGTTCAAAATCTTGTCTCTTCGCTTTAGTTAAATCCACTTCAGGAGGCACCTAATAAGGAAAGAAAGAGGGGGAAAAAATTCCTTCAACTAGCTCTTGCCCTCCGCTGCTTCTCCCTGACTCAGATTTAGATTCCCGGAAAATCGCATTTCACACCCTCCATCCATCATGCCTTCTAGGCTGTGCTGAGCCTAAGGCAAAGGATCTACAAATTCCAAGTAGTATTTGTCATTCTATAAGAAGAAGTAAAACAACATGTTTTACTTTATACCCTTCAACGAGTGAAGTTTTGATAAAAAGGAACCCTTCTTTGGGTTTGACCTAGGGCAAATGTTCTGTAAAATCTAATTTGAATCTCTCTGTGGCAGCTGGGTCTGTCCTTGCTGCCTCCTTGTCCCTCTTCCAGAGCAATGAGCCCACACAGTCTCTGTGGAGGTCTGCACCTTCTCAATCCTTTCTGCAAGGACTACCCCTGGAAATCGCAGTGGTCACTGAGGGAGCCTCAGGCATGCTGTGGCATAATAAAGTAGTACCCTTCAAACGACAGAGGGAAGAACACTTGGGAGACACGGACGTCAGCTGCCAGCCAAGGCTGCCAGGAATCGTCCAGTGGGGGGCTCTTCCTGCATCTCATCAATGTGACAAGGGACAATCCTGTGCTGCATGGCACAGGGCAAATGATTTCATTTCCACACTGGGATTCCTACAGAAATCCAGAACATTTTTACTTGGGAAAACATCTCTCAATTCATAAAACTGACGATGATGGAGTATTTAATATGAGGGATTAAGATTACATTTTGAAAACCTGAAAATGAAAACTATAGTGTAGATTTCACATCTACATTGAAAGATAAATGAGTCGTTTAAAAAGAAATGAGCTTTGGCTGGGCACGGTGGCTCATGCCTGTAATCCCAGCACTTGGGAAGCCAAGGCAGGTCACTCGAGTCTAGGAGTTCAGGACCAGCCTGGCCAACATGGCAAAAATACAAAAAAATCAGAGGAGCTCCTAATAGCCCATCTCTACTAAAAGTTTAAAAAAAAAAAAAAAAGCTGGGCATGGTAGCACACACCTATAATCCCATCTACTCAAGAGACTGAGACAGGAGAATCACTTAAACCCAGGAGGCAGAGTTTGCAGTGAGCCAAGATTACACCACCGCACTCCAGCCTGGGTGACAAAGTAAGACTGTGTCTCAAAAGAAGAAATGAGCTTTGAAAAATATGAAAGACTGGCAATACCAAGTGGTGTTGAAGATCTGGAACAATTGGAACTTACACAATGCCGTGTGGGAGTGTGAATCAATACAGCCGCACAGGAAAACGGGAGGAACCCACTGGAACTAAACATGCAGCTACCTTCTCACCCAAGAATTCCCAACAAAAATGAGTGCACGTGTACACTGCTGGGAGCCCTCCCGTGTGAAAACTTCAGAGCAGGTATTCACAATACGGGAGGTTGAGCCCAGGAGCAGAGCCGCCAGGCAGAGGGAAGTCGAGATAAGGAAGCAGGGGACAGAGAACTGAGAATCTAGTTAAAAGACAACAGCTGGGCGGAAGCAGGCGGCCTGCAGTCAGGAGGAACGATGTTTCTTGCTACAGAAACTTGCTTATGAGCGCCAAAGATATAATTATCTTCCATAACCACTCATTGCTTAGCTGTCAATTTATTGTATAGAATTGATGATTTAGCTATTTGTTTTTCTCCTTACCATGACGTCGATCAGACCCTGAAAATGTATGAATTCTGAGCCTTGAGAAATAAATTTGATGTTGCAGCACTGTCTCCGCACCCCTCCTGACCTCACTTTGCTGCCCTCTTTTCTTCCTGCGCACTCCCCATTCAGGGTGGAACTCTCTTGCTGGTCAAGAGTTCCCGGCAGTACACCAAAAGAATGCTAACAGCAGCTCTATTCAAAACAGCCAAAAGCTACAAAAAACAGAATGTCTATGACTAGAAGAATAAACTGCCATATACTCATGCAAAATAAAATTACACAGCAATGAAATCTCACAACCATGCTGAATTCAAGTAAGATACAAACAGTTCAAACTATAGGATTCCAAAAAAGTACAGGTATTGATCGACTTACGATCTATGCAACTTACGACCATTCGACTTTACGACCACTACCGCTAGCCACGACTGCTCCGCGTCTGGCAGCGCAAACGTTGCCCAGCTGGGCGTACGACAGTGCGGACCAGCTTCCGGCAGCACCACCATCTCCGCGTGCACCCTTTCAACTGTTATCCCAGACTCGGTACAGCAATTTGTGTTTTGTACATGTTTATATATTTTGAAATGTTTTGCAATTGGGAAAATGTTTCCTATGGTATTTTTTACACCTGTATTTTGTATTTTTGTATGCACCTCTATTTTGTAATTTTGTATGTTTTGCAAATATTAAACCAGTTGTACTGGTAATGCAGTGTTCTACTTAAATCTGACAAATGTAAAAATAAGAAACAAAATGGTGTAGAGATGATACAAATGGCATAAAATGAACAAAGAAAATTATGATATATAACAATAATGAAAGAAAATTATGATAAAATATGACAAAGATTTTCATAACATCATTTCACAGTACTGTACACATAGCCTACTCAACTTACGACCAAATCATGTTACGACCAGTCTGTCAGAACAATCGTGGTCGTAAGTCGAGCACTGGCTGTACATAACAATAAAAACAAATCTGTGGTTTGTTTTTGTTTTTGAGACAGGGTCTCGCTCTGCAGCCCAGGCTAGAGCACAGTGATGTGATCACAGCTCACTGCAGCCTGAGCCTCCTAGGTACAAGCAATTCTCTCAGACCAGCTTCCCAAGGAGCTGGGACTACAGGCATGCACCACCATGCCCAGCTAATTTTTATTTTGTAGAGACAGGGTCCCACTATGTTGTCCTGGCTGGTCTCCCAACTCCTGGGTTCGAGCAATCCTTCCTCCTTGGCCACCCAAAGTGGTGGAATTACAGACATGAGCCACCGCACCCAGCCAATCTGTGTTGTTAAAAGTGGTTTTGCTCAGTAGTGGGAAGGAGGGCAGAGGATGGCAGTAACTGCAAGGAACACAGCTGGGCCTTCTGGGTACTGGTAATGTCTTGTCTTGATTCAGATATTGGCTATGTGGATGTGTTTGGTTTGAAAATTCATCAAGCTCAACATGGATGATATGTGCCCTTGTCTACATGTCTATATGTACTTTTTAATACTTCAATTTTCTTAAAGTATAAACTGTACAATTCCACTTACAGTACAATTCCACTTGTGAACTTTACATACATAAAGTTCAGGCCAGGCACAGCGGCTCACACCTGTAATCTCACAGCACTTTGGAAGGCTGACGCAGGCAGATCATCTGAGATCAGGAGTTCAAGACCAGCCTGACCAACATGGAGAAACCCCATCTCTACTAAAAATACAAAATTAGCCAGCGTGGTGGCACATGCCTGTAATCCTAGCTACTCAGGAGGCTGAAGCAGGAGAATCGCTTGAAACTGGGAGGTGGAGGTTGTGGTGAGCCAAGATCGTATTGTTGCACTCCAGCGTGGGCAAAAGAGCAACACTATCTCAAAACAAAACAAAAAATGTTCAAAAACAGGAAAAAGTAATCTATGGAAGTCAGAATAGAAGACATTTGAAAAAAGGAAAGCAAGGCAGTGACTGGAAGAGGCCACAACGGGGTTTCTGGGCTGCTGATAAAGCTCTGTCTCCCTGTCTGGGAGGTGAACAGCTGTGCTCACTTATGAAACGGTGGCTCACGCCCGTAATCCCAACACTTTGGGAGGCTGAGGCAGGTGGATCACTTGAGGTCAGGAGTTCGAGATCACCCTGGCTAACATGGCGGAAACCCCGTCTCTACTCAAAATACAAAAATTAGCTGGGCATGGTGGCGGACACCTGTAATCCCAGCTACTTGGGAGGCTGAGGCTAGAGAATCACTTGAATCCATGAGGCAGAGGTTGCAGTGAGCCAAGATCATGTCATTGCACTCCAGCCTCAATGACAAGAGCAAAACTCTGTCTCAACAACAAAAATGAGAAATTTGGGGCCAGGCTTAGTGGCTCACGCCTATAATCCCAGCACTCTGGGAGGCTGAGGCAGGTGGATCACTAGAGCCCAGGAGTTAAAGACCAGCCTGGCCAACACGGCAAAACCTTGATCTACTGAAAATCTAAAACATTAGTCAGGCTAAGAGTGCGAACCTGTAGTCCCAGCTACTTGGGAGGCAGAGGCACGAGAATTGCCTGAAGGAGGCGGAGGTTGTAGTGAGCCAAGATCACGCCACTGCACTCCAGCCTGGGCAAGAGTGAGACTCTCTCAAAATAAAAATTAAAAAAAAAATGGAGAAACTTTAAGATTGCCCAATGAATGGGGCCGGGTGTGGTGGCTCATGCCTGTAATCCCAGCTCTTTAGGAAGCCAAGGTGGTTGTATCACCGGAGGTCAGGAGTTCAAGACCAGCCTGGCCAACATGGTAAAACCCTGTGTCTCTACTAAAAATACAAAATATAGCCAGGCATGGCAGTGTGTGCCTATAATTCCAGCTACTTGGGAGGCTGAGGCAGGAGAATTGCTTGAACCTGGGAGGCGGAGGTTGCAGTGAGCCAAGATCGCGCCACTGCACTCCAGCCTGGGTAACGAGCGAGACTTTGTCTCAGAAAAACAAACAAACAAACAAACAAAACAAAGCTGAGAGAGTCCATTATCACTAGAACTGCTATACAAGAAATCCTAATGGGAGTTCCTCAAGTTGAAATGAAAGGACACTAGACAGACACATGAAGCCATAAAAAATACAAAGTGCTCCAGTGAAGGTAAGTGCATGGACAAATATAGTGAAGCATATTACTGAATGTTAATGCATAGAATTTATATGGCAAAGCCATAAAAACCTACAAATCTATGCTAAGGGGTATACAATATATCAAAGATATAATTTGTGACAACAATAACAAAGTGGGATGGATTCTGATTTATGAAGCAGATTTTTCATATGCAATAGAAGTTATCAGTTTAAAATAGAACACTGTAACATTAAAAATGTGC